AATACAGGTTCCGTTCACTAGAATTCCTTCCGCTCCTGACCACTTTCTCGTGGCTTGAACTCTGGCTTTCCTGTGGATCTTTAGCCTGGGCACCCCAGCCCCAACACTGGGTGATGTCTGGGAGATTCCTCGGGGTGGAGGAAGTGGGGGTGGCCTGTCTTGGAGCCTTGATTCTGTGGGGTGGGTGGCACTCTGGGTGTGGCACAGAGCATATTGTCTGGCTGGACTAGGATGAACATGGCCTGTGGACGTGGCAGGTGGGAGGGACCTGTCAGAGCTGGAACGGCCTCGAGTCCTGGACCCAGATGGAGGTGGCATGGCGCTCGGGCTCAAACTCTGCAGAGCCTGGAGGCCACCCTGAGCCCAGGACCTCCAGAGGCCCCAGAGGTGTCTTCGCCCAGAGACAGGGACCACGTTCTGCCAGGGCACCTCACCTTCTGAGCTCACATCACCACAGCCTGTGTGGACAGGGCTGGAGAGGGCCAGGGCCAGGGCCGGGATGGCCGTGAGCGGTCATGGGGCCTGGCAGTCGGTGAGGTGCAGGGTGTGCAGGACTTTCAGATTCTGTGCAAGAGGCCCTCAAAGCCTCGTGGTCATGACTTAGTAGACTAAGGCTTGAACCGTGGCTGGAAATGTCACCTCCATCAGCACAGGCAGGTCCCTGTCCTAGAGCTGTGGAATGGAGCAACAAAGAAGGCTGGCCTGTCCCACAGTGGGACCCAGCTTTGGTGGGTGGCCGGGGCAGCAGTCCCCTGGCTGTCCAGCTGGTATGGGCCTGAGAAGCAGGTCTGGCCAGAGAGGGCCGAGTCGACAGCCAGTCGGCATGCTGGGAGGTCACCAGGAGGCAGAGAGCGGCTTGTGGCCAGGCCCAGAAGACTCCTGTGCCTCTCCTCTCCACCCTGGTGAGGTGGGGTGCCCGCTGCCCTCTGCTGCCAGACCTTCAGGGTAGACGCTGAGCCACACAACTTGGGAAGCGCACACAGCCACTGTCCTTGGAGGAGGCCCAAGTGCCCTCGTGTCTCCTGTCCTCTGGCCCTGGGGACAGGAACCTGAAGTTGGCTTGAAGTACCATCTCTGTTTCCTGGGGAGGGGGGCAGGGGACGTGGCAAGAGCAGGAGGCTGGCCGTGGCCTGGGGCCAGCTGAGTAGAGGAGCCTCCAGCCCTGGCACCCAGCTCAGCTCTGGTCAGGCTGTGGCAGCAGGGTCCCCTGGGCAGGGTGTCCAGGAGTCTGAGGCTTTGGTGGTGTGGGCCTGGGGGCCCGTGTGTTCTGAGGGGGCTGGCGGACTGCAGCCTTGTCCCACTGGGCAGGGCTGGGGCACCCAGTAGAGGAGATGTCTGTCCCTGCCTCCTCTCCAAGACCTGACCAGTCCCCACGCCTGCCATCCTCCCTGGTGTCCCCTGGCTTCTGAGCCCCTCCCTCCTCCTCCGTCCCCCCCACCTCATTTCTCTCCTCCCTTCCACATTCACTCACTCTCTGCTTCTTCCTTCAATCCCTGCTCCTCTTGGAAGATTCCAGTCCTGCCTGGTGCCCTGGGCTCTGGCCAGCCCCTCCGTGCCTGGCTGACTTTTCCACTCCCCACCATGGCTGCTGGGGCTGCGTGGCTGCGTGTGTGTCCTGGGCCCATGACAGAGGCCTGTGGCACCGACTCTCACTTCCCTGTTGCTGGTGTGGCTGGGATGGGGTGCTTGGCAACTGCACACCCTCCAGGGGAGGGAGTCCAGTCCTGGAAGGGGACCCAGGTGGGGCTGGGTCTTGGACAGGAGCCTGCACTGCTCAGATGAACCCTGGATCCTGGGTGGCTCTGGGGAAGCCAGGCCCAGTCCACCTGGAGACCATGTGTCCCACTGGCCACCACAGAGCAGAGCCATCAAGAGGGAGCCAGGCAGTCTCCCAGCCCAGGAGCTCCTGGCACAGGGAGGGGTCTTTGTACCTCACCACCCTGCGGTCTCTGAACAGCTCAGGGACAGTCAGAAGAGAAGGGGAAGAGGTGGCAGTGGTCACCGTCACTAGAGGGGGCAGAGTGTTCCATGAGTCACTCATGGAGCTGCAGTTCAGCCAGGCGCTACAGGAGACCCCGGGTCTAGAACTGGGGTAAAAAGAAGCCCTATCCTGACTTTTCTGGGTTCATGGATGCAATTTGTCTATAGAAACTGGCCCCAAGGGCAACAAGTATGTCTTTGTGCCCCCAGGGCTGCAAGGGCATTGGAAGCCCACCCGGGCAGGGAGAGGAGAACTCAGCCAACCAGTCCCCTTTCCCCTGGACACAGGGGCTTCTGTGTCCAGCCCTCGGAGGCTGGATTTGACATCTCCTTTCCAGAGAGCACTACCCACCAGGGACACCCTCCCCTCCAGCCCCAATGCTGTGGGACACCACCCACAGGTGGCAGCTCAGAGATGACCAGCCTCTGGGTTGTGGTGACCCCACTGTCAGCGTCCAGCCATAGGAAGCTGGGCCCAGGAGCAGCAGGGGCCAGAGCAGGCAGGCAGGAGCCGGTGGGCCCAGGAGCAAGTCTGCAGGTCCCTGGACCTCGCGAGACGGGAAGAGGCAGCCTCATCACGCTGCTGCAGCAGGAGCACCGTGGAGAGGACCCCCTGGGCCCAGCCTCCCCACGAGTCGGTCACCACGGGTCCTTAGAGAGCCTCATCCCCGCAGCCTGGGGATGGCCACACTCTGCAGTGTCCTTGCATGTCATGAGTGTGGAGCCCTTGGGTGCTGGTGGGTGGAGGCAGCGGCTGTCCCCAGCTCTCCAGGACCAGCTCAGTGGCCTAGAGCACAATCCTGGTCCCTTGGAGCCTTTGTCTCCTCATCTGAAGAGGAAAGACTCCAACTGGTGGCAGGTGCTCAGGGTTAGGTGGCATGTCCCTTCAACAAGGCCAGCCCTGAGGAGCCCGGGGTAGGTGTCGTCCCTCCTCTCACACTGCCCTGGAGGGAGACACAGAAAGTCACCATCAGGCAAACAGATTTGCCAGGTGTGGCTGGGAGGCCTAAGGGCAGGAGCGGGAGCGGAGCCTCCGGGGGAGGCCGAGGCCTGGATCAGGCGGCAGAGGAGCAGGTGTGGTCAGGGTGCCTTGCTGGGGCTCCTGGACTGAGCCCTGCAGGAGGATGCGGGGGTCTGTTGTCCCAGGATGCAATTTCATGTAGACAAATGCCCCGGGCGAGGGGGTGAGCGTGTCGAGAGCAGGTACTGCGGCGTGGCCGTGGGCGCGGGCGCGGGCACTCTTGGTCTTCCTGAGTGCCCTGCAGTGGGTGAGTGGGGTGGCACTGCAGAAGGCACTGGAGCATAGGGCAGGGAACTGGAAGGACACTAGTGAGGGGAACACAGGAGCGAGGAGTCAGGGTCCACGTGGCTGAGCTGTCACTGCAGTGGGTCCCCTCCATCTGCGGGAACCTCCAGGGGCTCTGCTTCCACACTTGGTGTGTGCACAGCTCCGTGCTCAGTACGGGTGGTCCCAGGATGACACTCCCAGAGTGTCACAGGGTAGGAAGGTCAGCGCTGACCGGCACTGCACAGGAGGCCCAGGATGATAGGAGAAGCCGAGCTCTGCTCCTGGCCATTCTCCTGCCCTCCTTCTCTGTCACCAAGTGACCTAAGGGGACGGGGTCACTGCCACCCATGCCTGCCATCACAGCACGTTGAAGGGTGACAAAGAAGGTCAGCCAGAGGCATGGGGCATTGATCTGGGATCTCAGTTGGCCATCTTCAGAAGTGGCATGTCAGAGGACAGGCCCTTCTACCTGGCCACCCAGGGCAGGGCAGGCCCCGAGAGTGGGAGTGGGGTTCAAATAATGACCTCAAAGGACGTTTTAATGGTGGTCCCCTTTAGCACCGGCTGCCTGTGAGGTGGTAAGCTGCCCGTCACCAAGGGGGTTCCACAGAGGCTAGCCCTGTCCGAGGCTCCGGGAGAGCAGTGCCGGCCAATAGAAATGTCGTGCTGGCCAATGGGAAAACTTAATTTCTAACACCTGCGTTCAAAGGTGGGAGGCGGGTGAGGTGAATTCCAGTCCTGCGTTTTATTAGCCCACCCGCCCCGGACCCCCCTGACCCCATCAAGAACCTGCAGATGAGAGATTCCTTTCTCAGGTCTGTGCTCAGCCTTTGAAACCTGGTGTTGATTGACAGCAGCATTTCCACTGGGGCTGGCCACATGTCCAGGGCCCACTCTTCATGTGGGACTCACGTGGAGCTTATCCACGGGGTGGATCTAGAATCTTCTGTTGGGCGATGTAGCTCTGGAGCCAGACTCAAAGTCTGGTCCGTTGGCAGAGAAAGCCAGTGAGACTTGCAGACCTGAGGGGCCAAGCCTTCTGTGTGGGGGTCACCTGCTGTGGGTGCCCAGTGAGCCACGCTGCTCTGGGCGGCCTCTGAGATCTCTCGGTGGCCTCTAAGATCCACCCGTTGGCCACAGGTCTCAGACCAGACGGGGCTGGTCTTGCAGACAGCTCCCTACCCCAATCTGTGGTGGCCTGTGACAAGGTTGCCCCTTGGCCCTGGCATCCCGGGGAGGTAAGAATAACATTGTCAGCCTTCCCTCGGGCAGAGGAGCAGTCACCTTTTGTGCTGGAGTGCCCGCAGGTCAGTGCGGGCCATACCTGTTCGTGGATTTATATGCGCACTCCCTAAAACACAAGGCTGGCAGTTCTAATTGGTTTCTCGCCCCACCCCTTTTTAAATTCACTACTTAGCACTACTCAGGAGTCTGGAAACCGGTGACAGAGCTGGGTCCAAGGGCCAGCTGCAGCTCCTGGTACACCTTCTCCTGGAACAGGGCCGCGTGCGTTCCTTCACACCTCGGCTCTGGTCTTCGGGGGGCAGCGGCAGGACAGAGCAGCTGCCGCAGAGACCATATGGTGGCAAAACCCAAAATATCTGCTCTCTGGCCCTTGATAGGAAAGGGTTGCCGACCCCTGGCCTGGCCAGCGCTGCCCAGAGGACAGAGCCATGCCTGGCGCTGGCGTTTCCTAATCGCGTATCTACAAAAGCAACGAGAACAGATGAAATGCATTTTAATGATATATTTTATTTAACCCGATGCTGAGTATTGCCACTGCAGCGTCCAATCAATATAAACACGATTGAGACATTTGGCGTTCTCTTTCCATGCTAAACCTTCCAAAGCCACCCTGTGCTTGTCACTCACAGCCCGTTTCTAATCTGTCCGGCCACGTTTCAAATGCTCCAGCGGCCACATGGGGCTGGCGCCTGCCGCAGCAGATAGCTCAGTCGCAGAGAAAAGAGGAGGGGAAGCTCCCAGGGGGTCTGGGAAGGGCCTCTGGGAGTAGCCAGGCCCTGCCCGGGTGATGCAGGCCTGCCACAGGATTTTGTGACCAGGACGGTCCCAAATGAAAGTAACAGTTTCCTTGGAAAGACTGAATGGAGGTGCAGGGTGGGTCCTGGGCACCTGGAGTCCAGTGCTCGGGGAGCAGGTGACCACTCTGTTCTTTCAGGGTTTAGGCTGAGAAAGGCCTTTGTGCAGGGAGTGACTGGATCAGATCTGTAAGTGTGGAAGCAGAGGAGAGGAGGGCAGGAGGGCCGCAGTCCAGGGAACAGCGGGACACAGGCTCAGGAGAGGCCGCGAGCCGACCCGGCCGGCAGTGTGGATGAAGAGGGCCGGAGGGGAGAGAGCAGGACAGCGTGCCCCGACCAGGAGGGAGGGTCAGTGTGGAATCGGTGGTTTCTGCCTGCAGCATGGTGCTGATGCTCTGCTTGGCACTGCCCCAGGCCTGGCCCACTTGGCCCTTGTGTGCCCCCAGCCTGGCTCCTGGGTGAAGAAAGCCTTCCCTCCACACCCCTGGTGGTGACCCAGGGGTCCTGCCCCTTCCTTTGCTCTCCTCCCTGGCCAGTGCCCTGGCCAGCTGTGAACACCTGGCTCTGCCCTTGTGGGAACCACATGCCTTCGCCGTTGCCCATGATGAGCCTCTGCCCGAGCCTGTGGCAGCCCTTGAGGACCCTGCCGCCCTTCCTTGTCCCCTTCCCGCCAGGCCTGAAGCAGACTTGCTGCCAAGCTCCTTTGTGAGGTGGCTGGACAGGGAAGTGGGCTCTCAACTCCCTGCTCCGAGGGAGGCAGTGGCCACACTCGCCCAGCCCATGGTCCGGTCACTCACAAGCACCTGCCAGGAAGGAGCCCAGGCCAGTAGCAGGTGGCCCCCGCATCAGTGCCTCCTGGGTGGAAAGGGACCAGGTGAGGTCCCAGGGAGAGACGGCCAGCTCACCCTGCCTCACCTGGAAGGCAGGGTCCTCGTGACCAGATGGGGAAAATGCTCAGGGAATGATGGGGGCAGCGGGTGCCCCTGCCGACCTGCCCCCCCAGAAACCCACCTGGCGTGACGCTTGACACCTTCCAACCACTGGTCCCTTTCTCAGGAGGCCTTTCCTGAGCCATTTGGCAGTGCAGCTGCCCGGCTCGCTCCCCGCCCTGCCCACCCTGCTCCACCTGTCTTCCTGGCCTGTGGATACTGGGCGTATGAAGCACTTCACTGACTGGCCTGTCCGGCCCCTCTCTACAGGAGGGAGGGACTTTTTGTCTGTTTTGCTCCCGGCTGTTTTCCCAGGGACAAGGATGGCACCTGGTACATGGTGGATACTAAGTTAGCAGCTACCCAGTGGTTAGGACCCTGTCCTCTGTCCACCGGTGCCTCCCGAGTGGATGCTGTGCTTTCTGTCTTGACCTGCTGTCCGTTTTGGCTCCCCGGCAGGACACTCCCTCCACAGGCCACAGAGGGCCTGGGCCAGTCCTGGGAGCTGGGGCAGGCCGGATGGCCATGTTGCAGCAGCCTGGGGAGCGTGGGTCTCTGCACGGCACCTGTCTGGGGGGCACTGAGTATCATGGCTGCATGTCCGGAGCCACCGCCCGTGCCTGAGAGTCTGAGCCTCGAGTACCTCAGAAAGTAGCTGTGTGGCCACAGGTGACACAGATCAGGACGGGCTCCTCCGACGCAGTCCCTGGGGGACTTCGAGACAGGAGGGACAGGGGTGCTCTGCAGCAGCAAGCCTGGCGTCCTCTCTTCCTTTCCTCTTGACAGTGTGTACCTGTGGGGTTTCTTGGGATACAGTTCAGCGTCAGACTCTCCTGGGCTCCCCAGAATCCCCTGGGCTTAGTATGTGCAGAGGTGTGTGACAGCCCCGTCCTGGCCCTGCAGGTTCCCTTCCCCAGCCCCTCAGCTCTAGCCCTGCAGACCCAGACCGTGCCACCCCCTGACCTGCCTCTGCCTATTCTGAACAGTTTGTAAACAGGGAGTCACGCACTTCGGGCTCTGACTTTGGACCTGTGTCCTGTCCCCAGAGCACCGCCACGTGTGGCTCCCCTAGCAGGACACCAGCCCTGTGCGTTCAGAGGGCTTGCCGACCCAGGGGCTGGTGGGTTTCTTGGTCCAAGAGTCTGACTGTACCACGTCGGGTCTCAGGCTGCCATACCTGCCCACCAGGTGTGTGCCATCACTGCTGTGACCAGGCGAGGCCACCAGGCTCAGGCCAACCAGCAAATGAGCTGTCTTCCCAGGCAGGTGGCTGGGGGCTCAGGATCTGCCGCCCACCTCCCTGACCCAGTCCCCAGGGCTGGAGCAGGGCAGAGCCTCCCAAAGAGCAGCCAGAACTCTCGGTTGGGTTGTCGGGTAGTCGGGCCCCTGCACGGGACTGTCCCCAGCCCTCCCACCTGGATGCGCTCCCCGGGTGGGCAGGTGGAAAGAGCACGGTCTCAGGAGCAGGCCCGCCCACCCCACCCCTGCTCAGTGATTCAACCCTGCACCTCGGTGTCCTTGTGGTGGGTGGGGACAAGGTGGTCCCTTGCTGGGAAGACAAGGACAGAGCAGGTAGAGAGCAGTAGGGCTGGAGTGGAGTCAGGCCCCAACGTTGCTGGCCCCTCCTGTTGTCTCACACTCCAGATCTGTTAAATCAAGAGAAGAAATTGCTAAAATAAGGTCACAAAATATGTAGTTTGTCTTAAATATTTCCATTTGGCAAATTAACAATTTCAACCCACACTCAAGCAAAAGCAAGGAAGCTACTGTTCACCAGTCGAGCTCAGGCTGTCTGTTCTGGCTCCCCGGCAGGGCACTCCCTCCGAAGGCCACAGAGGGCCTGGGCCAGTCCTGGGAGCTGGGGCAGGACCTGGGCCTGAGGGTGTGACATGGGGGCCCTACCTGTGCAGCTCCTGCCCCCAGAGAGCCCACCTCCCCAGGAGGGAGGTGTCAGCAGCGTGGTCAGTGCCCTGCAGGGCTGGGCACCCAGAGCCCCACGGGTCCTGGGCTCTGCTGGCTCTGCTGTGTCCAGCTCAAGCTGACCACCTGCCCCAGCACCCCACCCCTCACTCCCCTGTGGCTGGGGTCTGGCCAGGACTCGAACCCTCCTGTGGTTGAGGGGAAGGGAGGGACCTTCATCTGGGCAGGAAAAGGCCCATCTCTTCCTCCTTTCTCCTGGGAAAGCACTAGAGACTTCGTGTGGCCCTGCCCTGACCCTTGGTGGGGCCCAGACAATCCAGGAGGATGCAGCCGTCCAGCGGGGCCACGTCCCAAGACCCCTCACACCTCCCTGCCTGGCCTCTGGCTCCAGGGCGGGCTGGACCCCAGATGGGGCTAGGGTTGAAGGGGCCCCAGAGCTGATGGGGTCGGCTAGCCCAAGAAATCCAGGCAAGAGATGGTGAGACTGCAGGGGGCGGAGGTGCCTGCCAGGGGACCCTGCCTCTGGGAAAGCAGGCAGACCCCGGTCCCGCTGCAAGCAGGTAGAGGTGAGGGCCAAGTCTGGGGGCTGGAAGACTCAGAATCAAGTGCCCGTGCACTTCACCACCGATTGGGGCTCAGAGTCGGTGCTGCAGCTGAGTTGGTCATGAAGGGCCCCTGTCTCCTGGGGGGGGCCACACATCATCAGCAGAGTCAAGGGGCCGGTTGGAGGGTGCCTGCCTGAGGAGCAGGACTGCAGAGCCTGACAGGGACCCCAGAGAGAGGGGAGGGAGACCTGGGCTTCCCACGCCTGGACTTCTCTGGTAAGGACCTCCTACAAGTTCAGGGTGCGATCATCTCCCCATTTTACAGAAGAGGAAAACCAGAGAGAGGCCAAGAAGGCTGCCTGGTGGCACATCCAGGGTGGGGGTGGCCCGACTAGGAGCCCACGCCGGGCAAAAAGCTGCCCTGGGCAGCTGGCAGAGGAGGCCGACTCTGGCCTGTCCGCTGTTATTTGTTAAGGGCTTTGTGGGGATCTAATTCACCCACTGGGAGGTGACAGCTCGGTGACCTTCAGCAGCACCTAGCTAGCTGGACCACCGTCCCCGCCGACCTGTGGGAAGCTTCCCCTCCCCAAAGTGTCTCTTGGTGACCTCCCTTTGCCTTGACTGTCCCCCCGAGCCCAGTGTGATACTCATGCACACCCCTGGCTTGGGGCAGCCCTGGCAGGACGGTGGGGGGGGCTCTGAGTGGCTCAGGCTACCCTGGCTTGGGTGGTGGGCGGTGAGGGCTGAGCCCTGACCTGCCCCTGGCACACTTGTGGGCTCTGGGTCTCCTCCCCCGGACCTCAGTGCAGGGTGTTCAGCCTTCCCCAGGCTTTGCCCTCCCTGGGGGCCTTCCTGACGCCCCCTCACTCCCTGCACCAGCAGGCTCCCTGTGGGTGGCTCTTGGACCCCTCATCCGTGGCTCAGAGCTAAGCCTACTTAATTCTTTTGATCTCAGTTCAGAAACGGGCCCTCCAGCCATCCCTGCTGCTGCTCAGCTGGGGTGCGCCTGCCTGAGTCTGAGCTGGGGACTGCGGCGGCCCCTGGCGGGTTCCCCTGGCACCTGCCCTGGCCTCCTTTCCTAAGCGCTGCCCCCGCTGTGGGCCTGCCTGCACGCAACCCCAGGGGAGGCCCTGCCTGGGGGTGGGGGGGAGCCCCAGCAATGCAGAAGGGAGGACCGTCCCCCGGGTCTGCTTGGGGCTGCATGCTTTGGGTCCTGTCGGGGCCGCGGTTGGCCTGTGCCTGCCTGTGAGAGGGGGTGGGCGGCCAGCAGAGCCCAGCTGCGGAACAATCTGACCTACCGGGGTTCTCTTCCCTCCACCTCGCTGGGCCTCAGTTTCTCCGTCTGCAAATCCAGGTCTGGATCACATTTCTCTCCTGCCAGCATGAGGGGACAACCGTTAGGGAGCCTGGCGCACAGTGGTCCTCAGCAACCAGCCTCACTGCAGGAAAGACCCCTCCACCCTGGGGCCTGCTGCACCTGGGGGCACCTGGGGCTGCCACAGCTGGAGGCGAAGGTCCCACCCTGAGCAAGACAAGCAGGGCAGCCGGCGGCCTCACCCCAGCGTCTGGCCAGGAGCGTGGCAGGGCCATTGGTGAGCTGGTGGCAACTGCGCTGCCTGGAGGAATCCATTCGTCCACCTCTGCCCTCCCCACTTCTGTCCCCCTGGACACGCAGCAGGCGGAGTCGAGGGAACCCACAGACGGTCAGGGCTCTTCCCCCAGCTGCCATCATCTCCCATGGGAGTGACCAGACAGCCCAGGGCTCCAGGTGGCCTTGGACCCCCGAGGACCTTCTGACCCCACCTGACGACTTCTGGAAGACTGTGGAGTGACTGGGGGAGAGGGCACAGCCCGACGCTGGCCTCGAGCTGTCGAACAGGGTCTGGACAGTCTGTGTGCCTGGGCTGCGGAGGCAGGGACCCCACTGCAAAGCCACCCTCCCTCCAGGGTCCTGGAGACAGGAAGCAGAACCAGGTGGAGAAGGATGCAGAGTGCTTCCCAGGGAGGCCTGGAAGGGGGCCGCGGAGGGGCGGGAATCTGCACCTCACCTGCTCTGCCTCGGTGGGCCCTCTGCCCGCTGCCCCCGGGGGCTCCCAGTGCCCACCCTGCTGCACCCCAGCTCCCTACCCAGGCTTTCCTCCCGCTCAGTCTAAAAGGAGAATGAAAGGAAATGAGGAGACCGGCAATTCATTTGTGAGCTGCATTGTGTGGGGGGCTCTTAATTAGACCTAATTAGACTAATTAACTTTCCAATGAGAAGCTCGGATTTTCTCTCCTGGCTCCTCTCTTCGTATTGCTTTCTCTTCATTCCCCTTTTGGAAAATGAAACAAGGATAAATATTTGAATGGCTCGCGGCGGCCTGCGAGGTGGAAGGCGGCCCAGGCGACGGAGGTGGGGCTCCAGGGCAGAGGGCGCCAGCGACCCGCGGCCCTCCCCTCCCCTCCCCTCCCCTACGGCGCCTGGCCGCTGCCCCTCCTCCTGGCTCTGGGGTGCGGGGTGTGGCCTGTCCGTCATTCAGGAGATGACGCTCTGAGGGTTCACTTTGTTCCTGGCACCAGGGGTGGAAAGATGAGTGGATGTCGGGTCCCTTGGGTGATTCTGCCACGGGGACAGGAGGGCTGAGCCTGCCCCCATTCGCTCTGCCGCCCTCAGGTCTGGGCCTCCCGAGTTCACTCCCTGGGTCTCGGCTTCTCTGTCTGCAAATCCAGGCCTGGTCATATTCCTCCCCTGCCAGCAGGAGGGGGCGACTGGTGTACGGCGGCGGTCCTTGGGAGCCCCCCTCCACCCCCTGGAGCAGGGGGTCCTCCCCGCCAGCAACGCAGGCTCTCAGAGGACTAGCTGATGAGTGGCGGCAGGGCTCCCTGTTCCTGGGAGGGTCTGGAGGAGGCCCCCTGCTCCCCTGCCCCTGCACACTCCCCGGCCCCTGCAGGCCTGGCCTCCCACGGAGAGCCTGTGAGGCCATTTTTGTCAAGGGTGTTGGCCACTGTGTAGGTGTTCAGGGACCTGATCCTACAGCACCTCCCACCAAGACTGCCGGGGAGAGATGCCGCCCGCCCAATTGTCCCCCACCTGAGCTGCGGACCCTGCTGCCTCTGTAGGTCCAGGACTCTCCAGCAACTGCCTTAGGGTGCTTCGGGGTTCACAGGAAGAAACCCCAGAGTCAGCGTGGTGCCCCTGGACACAGGAAATCCTGGTTTGCCCTGGGCTCCTGCCTCCCCTGGCCCGCTGCTGTTCCCTGACCGCTGGCTTCTGCAGCCTGGCCCTGTAGGGAGGCTGAGGGTGCAGCCACCCGCTCCCAGAGGGCACCTGGGGTCTTCCTGGCCCGTTCTTTCCCCAGCCCCATCCCAAACCTCAAGCCCCCGTCTCCCTCTTCCCAGAACCTGACGGGAAGGATTCCTGACGCCAACACCTGCCACTTCCTTATTGATTTCCCCGCTGTCTCAACCGGAGCTGCTGGGGTGGAGCCGGTCCTGGCAGCCAAGGGGAGCAGGAAGGGCTTCTGCTGACATTCTAGAATGTGCCGTGCGCTCAGGCCTCAGGGCAGGGGCCATGATTTGCCCTCCTCAGAGCCAGCCCCCTTCTGTTTGCACGGCTCAGCACAAGGGTCCAGGAGGCCCTGGAGGGTGGGATCCAGCAGCCATGTCTGGACGCCATCTGGCCCGGAGACACCCACAGCACCCGGGCAAGCACAGCTCAGCACCCAGGGCCTGTCCTGCATCTGGCAGCCCCTATGTGGGCCCTGGGATGTGTGCCACCCTGTCTGGGTCAGGCAGGAAGCAGGTGGCCATGGGCCTGGCCTCCCCCACCCAGGCAGCTTTGACCAGGCCCAGGTGGGCTGCGGCAGCCGGCCTCTTCCCTGTTCAAAGCCTGCCCTGCAGCTCTTGGCCTCCAGTGGCTCTTTATTGGGCCGGGTCTTCTGAGCAGGACGTCCCTGGGAAGGAAGCAAATGGAGGACCCGCCTCGCGGTCAGGAGGAAGCTTCCAGGAGGCCCTGCCTCTCTCCTCCCCTGCCAGGGCCCCCTCCCTCCCCCGCCACGGAGTATCTCTGGAGCCTGTTTTCTGGAATTCCTCTTCCTGCAGAGGCTCAGTGTCCACACTGGACCTGGACCTTGGACCGGTCACTCCTGTGCTCTTGGAGTGGCTGTCCTGAGAAGGACATGGCCCAGTGGTCTGGACAGAAGTGGCCTCCCTGTCCCCCAGCTGAGCCTCTGTGTTTTGGGGTTGGAGGAGCAGGGGGGACTGAAATTTTGGTCCCCACTGTCACCCTCTCTTCCCCAGATGCCCCCCTCTGTGCCTGTGCTCAGGAGAGCCAAGAGCGCTTAAGCTCCGATGCTGGTCTCCTTGGTGACATTGTCCCTCTCCAGGTGGCACCAGGGGATGCTACAAAAATTGCCGTTTGAGGACAGCCCCATGTGAGCAGCCTGCGCTTGGCTTTTTCCACTCCAGCCACCTGCCTGTCCCCTCCTCCTCCTCCTTCACCTGCGGCCTGGGCCCTCTGGCCCCACCTGCAGCCAACTCGACCTCCCACCCCACCCTCCGCCGTACCTGGGGGCTTTGTTAGCACAACTGGGTTCAAATGTCTGATTAGTCTTTAGGAGATCGCGGGGTCAATTTTCCACAGCTCCTTCCTCTCCATTTAACTAATTTAACTGCACGATTGTTACAAATTTCATTTTATTATAGCCCCGCTTCTCAGTCCAATTGAATTACTAAAATCTCATTTTCTCAGAAGTGCTGAATATGTAATTAGAGGAAAAATTATGCTCCCGCCTGCCTATTAGGACAGTTCACGCATGTGTGCGCCGTGTGCCATGTGACGGACATACCGCTGGCCTCCGTGTGGTGGGCTTGGCTGGAGGCGGGGCTGGCGTCGGGACACTCGGGGACAGGGAGGTCAGTGCCCTACAGGGCATGCAGAGCCGTGTGGATACCAATGTGCATGTGTGGCTGCGGGCAGCCTCAGGGACGGCGAGAGGGGAGCCCACATTAACTCCAGAGTACAAATTAAACAGTATCCGTGGGCCACTGTAATTAAGGGGAAATTCGATTTTGTCCTAATGCCCCATTATGTCTGGCTCTGCGAGGTGCAGCTGGGGCTGTGTAGCTGGCTCAGGGGGACCAGAGGTTTCAGGGAGCCTGAACGTCAGCCCCGTGCCTCTTGCGGCTCCCTGTTCTCAGCAGGGCAGCCAGGGAGGAGGCCGTGTGCTATTTCTGATGGGTCCAGCTCTGAGGCTCCTTCCCATTTCTATGCTGAAGGTCCGCTGTGCTCCCGCAGCCTCCTCTGCAGTTGTGGGTTTGGTGTTGCAGGTGCCAGACCCCAGTGTGGCTGTGGCTTGGGAGGGGGCCTCAACGGGAAGAGTAGAGATGCAGCACCTAGCTGCAGGAGCTGGCAGGCAGCTTGGGGGCCCCGGGGACCCAGGGGACTGCTGGGCTGTAGGAGAGCACCCTGTGTCCACAAGGCAGGGTCACCTCAGGTTTTCAGTGGCCGTGGGCGTGTGGCAGACCCAGGGGCGCCTCCAGGCCTCCTTCAGGGCTTCCTGAGGGACTTGGTGGCAGCAAAGGATGGGCCTCTTGGGGCCCCTCTGCCCCCTCCAACCTGGCCTGTTCCCTGGGCTCTGGGCACACTGAGGCGTCCTGCCTCTGTGACTGACTTCTGCCAGCCCCTGTCCCACCTCTCCCTGCTCACTCCTGCTCACTCTCCAGGGATCCCCTGTCAGGGTGACCCATAGCTGGGCTGGGTTCTCTGTCATGCCACAGCTTCAGATCACCACAGAAGACCTGTAGATTCCCTGGGGGACCAGGACCAGGCCTCTGCACCGAGCACCACGTGGGCGGCCCAGAGGGTTGGTGGAAAGGGCCCGCGGGAGAGCGGCAAACCCAGCCCATCCCCGCTGGGTGCTCCCCTGGTCCAAGCAGACTCCCTGAGAGCCGAGCCAGGTGCCCCAGGGCCATTTTGTCGTCTCTACAGAGAGGGTGGGGGCTTCCTGGGATGCACACAGGGGGACACACGCGTGTGGATGTACGTTCATTCCCTGCTCGGCTTTGTGGGGGGGGGGGGAGTGCAGTCTGCACTGGCCGCACAGCAGTGGTGGGTGGGAATGGGAGTGGGGGGCCGTGGGTGTGTGCGAGTGATGTGCGTGTGCGGTGCGTGTGACTGGCATTGCCCGGGGGTGCATGCGTGTGTGTGTGTGTGTGTGCCCCACTGTGGAGAGTGATGGTGTGAGCTCTGCACCATCTCCGTGCGTCTCTGTGGGCCCAGGTGAACTCCAAGTGTGTGCAGGCAGCAAGTGTCTGTGTTGCTTTGTCCCACACGAGTCTCAAGGGTGGCACTGCATGCGGCAGGGCCTGGGGACCTGGGGGAGCTTACAAGGTGCCCTCTGACCCATGGAGGCAGACACGCGTGGGTATGGGCCCCTGTGCTGAGGCAGGACCTTTGGTGACAGCAGACCCCAGCGCTGTCTGTCCCTGCCCTTATTAATTTCCTGGACTCCTTGGCGGTTCCCTGGCCACACCCACCATGACCACGCAGGCTGAGGAACAAGGGACCCTTGGGCAGCTTTGCCCCGACCTCCTCTACCTGCTGGTCTTTCCTGAGCAACACCCTTGGCATCTGCAGGTCAGGTCTTCGGCCCCCACCCCCACCTCCACAGAGAGCCCTCTCTGCTCCCTGTGCCGGGCAGCTGCGGCGCCTGACTGTGTGGGGCCTTCAGACTCGCCGTTAGCATGTGAGAGCACACAGCAGGCGCTCAAGCAGTGTACACCCCACACGGTCCTTTCCTCTGCCTCTGAAGGATCTCTTGCCATCTGTACATGTGCCTGGGCCAGCTGGGTTCTGAGTGAGGAAGCCCAGGCATCATCTCAGCAGCCTGCGGAGACAGTCACGGGCCCCTCAGAGGACACAGGCTGGGTGCTGGACGACTTTTCCTGCTCCTGGTGTCGGCCGTCAGCCCAACACTTGAGAAAGGGGAGCCGGCGGGGCATGGGCTCCCTGCTGGGTGGGGCCAAGGGTGGGACCCTGGATCCGTGGCTTGCCTTCAGCAACGCTGGCTGGTGCTGGACAGGGACTTCCGCTGTCCCCTCTCCAAGCCAGCTCCGCTGGGCCACCACTGGCTCCTGTGTGCCTACTCTCCCTGCGTGTCCCAGGGGAAGTGCTTCTCCACAAGTGCCCCGTGGGCCACCCAGGGCCACTGCTGTGGGTGTGTGGAGACGTCCACAAAGTGTCTACCTCAGACGCCATGGTGCCCATCGCAGGAGCCCTGGAGAGGCCCTATGGCCATCAGTGACGTGGCACAGCTAGGCCAGGACCCACAGTGGTCACATAAACGGTGCCCTGCCCGAGCGGGACTCCTGTTCAGTCCTGGAGTGTTGTATTCATCTGCTTCATTCCTCCTGCCAGAAAGCTGTGGCCCTGGGCTTCGCCTGCTCACCGCCATGGCTGGACAGGCTTCCCAGGGCCCTCTTCTCCCCCTCTTCTGGGCTGCTTGAGCTGGGGCTCTGGTTAGGGACACTTGGGTGCGGCTGAAAGCAGTGACCGTGAGCTGGGAGGAGCTCTGCTGGCCTTGGCAGTGAGGGAGTACACGGACGGTACACAGACGGGGGGAAGCCGTGTGCGGAGCCCGGGACCAGCCTGCCTGGGCCCTCGGGTCTTTCCACTCTCTCGTCCCCGCTGCAGCCCGTGAGGTGGGTGCATGGTTATCTGATTTTACAGGGGAGGAAACGGGTGTGGAGGGCACGGGTCCATGGACTGGTCTGCCACAGGCAGGGCGGGCGGCTCCAACGTCAGGAATTCATTCCCCCCCAGTCCTGGAGGCTGGGAGCAGGTGTGGGTCGGGCAGGTTCCTCCTAGGCCTCCCTCCTTGGCTTGCAGACGGGCATCTCTTCCCTGGGTCATCACGTGGTTGTCCGTCTGTGTCCGTATCCTGAACGCCCTTCTCATAAGAGCACCGGTCAGACTGGACCAAGGCCACCCTAGTGATCTCAGTGTGCCCCAGTAGCCTCGGTGAAGACCCATCTCCAAGCACAGCTGCATCCTGAGGTGCTGCACATTCGGGGCACAGCCGACCACATGGCAGAGGCCGCACTCCTGCTGTCCAGCCCATCTGAGCCTGGACCGGCCTCTCCAGGCGTAGGAGTTTCACAAGAGCACATCTGTTGGTCGCCTGGTCGCCGTGCTGCAGTGTGCCGCCCTGGGCAGAAGGCAGCTGCCTCCGCCTCCAGGACCGTGGGAGTGGACGGTGGGCCTGGGCCGCCTCCGTGTCTGCCTCCTGTGTGGTGGTCTTCCACAGAGCCTCTCCTGGGCTGGGAGCTCAGCTGGCCCCTCTCAGCCTCCCTCACCCACCCAGTCCTCAAGCCACTGCGCCAAACCCCTCAGGGATGACATGGCCAGTTCTCGCTCTCAGAGTGGCCCAGGTGGGGCCAGAGCCCTCGGTGCCCACCCAGAGGCCCTGATGCGCTTCCTCAGGGAGGAAGGTCACAGTTATGTGCATGGGAGAGGTGGGTGGAGGATAGGCAGGCCCAGTGGCCTCTCAGAGCCTGGAGAAGGGGCAGGCTTATGGCAGAGCTCCAGCCAGAAGGCTGCCAGCCAGGAGTCGGTCAGTGCGCACGCTGCAGGGGCCAGCTGCAGACTGGACAGTGCCCAGGTGCTGATGGTGCTGGGGCACGCAAGCCCGGGGAGGACACGGAAAGCGAGGACAGACTGGGGCAAGGGGCAGAGGAGAGCCTGAGACCCAGGCTGGAGGAGTGGGGGAGCAGAGGAGGCGTCCGTGCGCCATGCAGGGTCTCTCAGGTACCTGGGACACTCCAAGGGGCACCTGCCCTTGGGTCCCTGCCCCCCTCCCTGGCCCACGCTGGCAGAGGGAGAGGAGGACACCACCCTTGGCAGGGAGGCTGCAGACCAGACAGTGTGGCTCTGTGGTTTGCCAGGGATGAAACTCATTCTCGCCCAGTGACCACAGCACAGGCTGCACCGCCAGCCAAGGGCACGGAGTCCCTGCTCCCTCCACATGCCCCGTTTTCTCTCAGT